GCAGCTGGTGACTTCACTTTGAAGCCAATGCTCATTTACCATTCTGAAAAGTCCTAGAACTCTTAAGAAGTATGGCAAGTCTCCTCTGCCCGTTCTCTATAAATGGACTAACAAAGCCTTGATAACAGCACATCCATTTCCAGCATGGTTTAATGAGTATTAATGAGCCCACTGTTCAGACCTATTGCTCAGGAAAAATGATTCCTTTCAAAATATTACTGCTCATTGATAAGGCACCTGGGTGACCCAAGAACTCTGATGGAGATGTACAAGATTAATGCAGTTTTCATGCATGCTAACACAACATCCTTTCTGCAGCCCATGGATCAAGGAATAATTTCGACTTTAAAGTCTTATTATCTAAAAAGTACATTTTGTAAGGCTATAGGTACCACAGATAGTGATTCCTCTGATGGATCTGGGCAAACTAAACAGAAAACCTTCTGGAAAGGATTCACCACTCTAGATGCCATTAAGAACATTCATGATTCACGCAAGGAGGTCAAATATCAACATTAACAGGAAATTGGAGAGGTTGATTCCCAGCTTCATGGATGACTTTGAGGGCTTCAAGACTTCAGTGGAGGAATTAACTACAGATGTGGTAAAAATAGCAAGAGAACAAGAACTAGAAGTGGAGCTTAAAGATATGACTGAATTGTTGCAATCTCATGTTAAAGCTTTCTTTTCTTTTCTTTTTTTTTTTNAGTGTTCAAGTGAAAGGATGAGCCACACATCTCTTACTTTAAATCAAAAGCTAAAAATGCTTAAGCTTAGTGAGGAAGGCATGTCAAAAGCTAAAATAGGCTGAAAGCTAGCCCTCTTGTACCAGTGAGCCAAGTTGCAAGCGCAAAGGAAAAGCAGTTGAAGAAAATTAAAAGTGCTACACGCAAATGCTAAGAAAGGGAAACAACCTTTTTGCTGATATGGAGAAAGCTTTAGTGGTCTGGATAGAAGATCACATCAGCCACAACATTCCCTTAAACCAAAGCCTAATCCAGAGCAAGCCCTTAACTATTAACTTCTATTAAGGCTGAGAGATGTAAGGAAGCTGAAGATGTCTGAAGCTACAAAAGGTTGGTTCATGAGGTTTAAGGAAAGAAACCATCTCCATAACATAAAAGTGCAAGGTGAAGCAGTGAGTGCTGATGTAGAACTGTAGCAGGTTATCCAGAAGATCTAGCCAAGATAATTGATGAAGGTGGCTATGCAGAACAACAGATTTTCTATGTAGATGAAACAGCCTTATTTGGAAGAAGATTCCATCTAATATTTTCAAAGCCNAAAGTGGTTTCTTGAGATGGAATCTACTCCTGGTGAAGATGCTGTCAATATTGTTGAAATAACAACAATGGATTTAGAATATTATATAAACTTAGTTGACAAAGCAGTGGCAGGGTTTGAGAGGACTGACACTAACTTTGAAAGAAGTTCTACTGTGGGTGAGATGCTATCGAACAGCATCAGATGCTGCAGAGAAATATTTTATGAAAGGAAAGTCAATCAACGTGGCAAACTTCATTGCTGTCTTATTTTTAAGAAATTGCTAAAGCCACCCCAGCCTTCAGCAACCACCACCCTGATCAGTTAGCAGTCATCAACATTGAGGCAAGACCTCCACCAACAAAAAGATGATTGTTCATTGAAGACTCAGATGATTGTTTGCAATTTTTAGCAATGAAGTATTTTTTATAATTAAGGTAGGTACATTATTTTAGACATAATGTTATTGCATACATAATAGACCACAGTATAGTGTAAACATAACTTTTATATGCATTGAGAAACCAAAAAATTC